TACGGCAGTGCTTCATCATCGGAATTTCAGGAAACGCAGCTCTTACCCTATTTCTGCACGCGCAGAAAACCCCTACCGAGATATAAGCTTCCTCGGTAACCCCACGTCGACAGGGTCCCGCATCGCAAATAATATTCCAGGGGGGCATAAGCTTCAATAGAGCTGAACGAAAAGAGCACACATCGGACCAATAATGCATACTTGCCGTCTAAAGCCATTTGTGTATTTTTGATAATGTTTTTGCATTGATCAGATCGTAAGTGATGGGAATTTTACGTGAGTATGGCTACCATGTTGCTGTCGTATTATAAAGGTGTTCGCACAACTGCAAAGGGAATATGCAAAATAAGCCCGTAAGAATTTAAACCCCGAGTTGACGCCATGATGAAGGCGAACAAAGATTGCTTCGAATAAACATCACCGTCAGGAATGATACAAGTTAGGCGTACGTAAAAATCGAATTTTTTTTTTGTTTGGATACACCTTTAAGAGCAGCTCCTGAGAAAGAGTTCGGATTCATATTGGGCCTAGCCGATATCAATTTTTTTGTTTACATTTAGAGTCTCTTTCATTCACAGTACTGACCTTACTTCGGTCGCTACAACGTTACAAAGAATGGGCCTGTCGGCCTAGATCGCAAGTCACGCCATTATAGTCTTTTATCGTTATAGCAGGAGTATTGCCGTTAGGTTTTCCTTTACGTTGTTGAGGCAGCGCTAAAGCGAAAGTTGGTTAGAGCTACAAATCGGAATACTTAATGTGACTCGGAATGTGTTACGAAGTGTAATCGCGTAGATGACGACGGTAGCAATACGAGCGTTTGCAGCTGGCCTTCGGGGACTCTGCTGCAGAATCCTTCGATTTAGCTGGTCTAGGTCTCCCAGGAGTCATAAGGCCAGCCAGACAGACATCTGAACGGCTAACTCACATAACCTAACCCTCCCGCTTAGGATTATTAAGGAACCGAATAGTCGTTTATGTACTCGTTTTGCTTTGTATGAAAGACTTTCGCTCACGTGGCCAGCCAGTAGATGATAATTTTGTTAAATACGTCTGCTATCATGCTAATGGCCTTCAAGCCAGCTTCGAGAAAAATTTTAATCCAAATAATACGCGAAAAATGTCGCAATGCTAGATAGGCAGCCAGCTAATTTCTATGTAAATTTTCCTGTCTTCACAACGCTATTTCCACGGACATAATATAATAGGCGTTACTAGCTGTTGGCCCTATTATCCGTAATGTCAATCAGGGCAATGTGTATGCCTCAGATTTCGGATTCAGATTAACCTCTTGCTATATTGTTGCAACGAGATTTCCGCTAAGGTTTCGACTATGAATGGCCCCGTTGAGCCCAATGAGAATTGTGAGAGAAACGGTTTGATTTTGGTTGATTTTGCGTGCCAGCAGTAGCGGCAGTGTTTCGTCCGACATTTGCGTCCTCGTGGGAGCGAGTGCGGTATTGAGATATGCTGCTGCTGCTGCTGCTGGTATCTATCGGTATTTGTATATGTGTGCCATCGTTAAGTCCTCTATATACACCTTCGGCAGTTGCTGTCGCTTTATACTCTTGCCCGATACCCCTCAAGTGGAACTCGCGTCATCCCTGAAACGATCAGTCTATCTCGTCTATGTTCGACAAGGGAACGCAATGCCAACGATGACGACGCTGAATTGGCCGGCGTTCCGCTTAAGACACTGCTGCTGCTGCCGCCGACCGAGATGCCAAGAGGAAAGCAAATGACGACCGACCGACGGAATGAAAGGAGAAAGAAGCGAGTGACAGAAGAACATAAGTAGTGCCGTCAAATCGGGCCTCTGGGACGATAAGAGTCGTTTCAGCTGCTAACTGAACTCTATTACAACATTCGCCTGATAGAAAACAGTATACCCGAAAGGCCATATTACGGAGACGAGCGAGACAACAACATGTAGTAGAAACAAGCGCACAGGACAAGCTGTGTTGCGATAGCGTATTGATTCTCCGATTTTAAATGGTTTCATCTAAGGTTATGTTGCGTCTTCTTCGTAAGCGGAGTTTTAACATGACTTACTTTGTGTTGATAAGTTTATAGTTATAATTTTTCAGTTTTTCGTAGTTACTCAAATTTCTTAAAGCTTCCTGAGAATTGATCAAGTTCTCGTTTACACTATCCAGCCAATGATGAGTCTGTCCTTGTAGAGTTCTTGTGTAATATCGAGTGCGAATTAAAATGTGATGTAATTTTAATCATATCGTGCTTCCTTTGAAAGTCGCTACTGAAAAATGTACAGATTCCCCTACTTCCATAGCGTACTACTGAACGGAGGTTTGCATAATCAACATCTTTTTAACGCCACATATAGCACTGCTAGTATCAGAAATAATGTAAAAACAATCCGTTTAATCAATGGATCGATCTATTTCGCCAGTATCTTAACATGCACTAATTATTTAGGGATATCTCGCACTCCGAACTCGACAGCGCGCTCATTCGGCTTTTGTCCTAGCTAGATCGTTCCTTTGCTCTCGCTCCTGCTGCAGTCGTTCAGTAGAATGACCAGGCCAAATAGACAATCGCATGCCACGCGCCTGCTCCCAAGGTCGCCAGATGGACATCAAATCGGCCTGCACTAGAGAAGACAGACTACAAATCCCAGCATGTATAGGATATATACGGAGATTGTAAGCCGAGCTAGACAGAGGTCAGTTCAGATTTACTTAGACAGAGGTCAGTTTTGGCCAGGGCTAAGCCAAGCTCGACTGGATCAACAACGCAGTTGAAAAAATAGTGAAGAGGCATTTCATGCGTAGAGGACGAACTGGGAGTCTGTCAATGACAAACAAGCAGCGGCAGCGGCGGAAACTCCAATGAATTTTACTTCAAATTGGTGTTTTGTCGTCTATGATCAGTACGTGGCCTCGAGAACAGGAGACGCGCACAGAGCTCGAATGTAAAGCAATGGAAGCGGAAGGAGGAATTGAAGCGCGCCGGCCGTGCACAAGTTTAAGCGACAGTAAGGGAGCGAGCGCGCTAGTTTGAGAGCAATCACGAACTCGGGTTCGAGCAGATTGGCGCAAATGCTGATGGCACCCAACGAAGAAGCAACAACCGAATCGAAAGAGCAAAAGACGAAGGGAGACAGCAGCAGGTGATGAAATCAACTACTAAACATAGAAGAAATCATATGCATAGGGAAGCCGTTTTGTTGGGTGCTGTGAGGGTTCTACCAGAGAATGCCAGGCCAGTGACCTGTGAGCGGTCGCGTTCGGGCATTTACGCAAGCGTAGAACAGGATAGCAAACCTGCGCGCTGCGGATATAATCAAAGGGGTGTAATGATTCGAGGAAGGCGGCTGGGTAGAACGAAAAGAAGTTTTTCCATTTTGGAAAATATGGAATGCTTAAGGAAATTCTGACATCTTTATAGAAACGTAGCTTGAAAACGTTAGCTAAATATTATATAAATAAACAAACAAAAAGAGGCTCTAATCACACACACAGCAATCATAAAATAAATAAATCATAAAAAAAACAAAGCACAGTAATCATAAAATACTGATTCCAATAAAATCGGGTCCACTTTTATAATTTACATTATAAGAACGAATTATAAATTTACCATGTATACTAGTTTGGTCAAAAAGTAACGATTCGGATGTTCTTTCGTCCCTTTTGGCTTTCAGCAATTAGGTAGATCTAGATAGCACGCCCTGTCTCCACCATGGTTTTGTGTTGGACAAAAGTGTATCGCGTTGTCTGGGTTTTAATGGTGGATATTTTATGTAAAAAATGTGGTCTAACGACAACTTTATTTTCATTTTTGCCAAGTTCAAAAAGCTACTAAAGCAGTTAAGGACAAGAATATTTCTGCCATATATGCAGTGTATATTCCATGACGCATATAGAGGCTGCTTAAGGATAATGTGCTCGGTTCATAGATAGCGTCTTGGACTTGAATGATTTACTTCACTGCGAATATCTGGAGCGAAAAAGGACCACCCGAAGGCGCTCGTGAAGTAAGACGACCGGCAAGCGACTCATAAATTTGCTGAAAATATTAATTGCGATCTTGTAACTCTTGTCTATAATTTTTACTCCATGAAACTTACCAAAAAATAGGAACCTGAGTGCTTTATAAACTGAATAAAAAGTATCGGAAAACTTGACTTTCCATTGCCTCTCAACATCTTGCCCAGCACAAAGCAACCAAAAACTATTAAGATATATTTTTACAAAAAATTACTATGAGTGACTAGAAAATGTATTCCGGCGTTAACATGAAGCAGAAAAATGATGAGTACCTCGAAAAGGTATGCTTAAGTTAGCAGTTAAGTCAGATCTTTAGGGAAAGAGGACCACAGTTAACATTCGTTGGAGTTGGAAAAGCTTTGGAAAAATGCCCAAAAAAGGTCGACAAAGGGCTGAATATGGCCCAGTTATATTAGGTAAACAAGGCTATCTGATGTGAAAAAACGTCCAATTGACGGGTAAAAGCCTGTTTTCTTTAAAACACCGAACGGCCATATGTTGCAAAGACCGTAAGGGTCACTGCGCAGAAACTTGAGAGAGACATATTTTCACTTTTACCGGTCATTAGCAAAATAAATTCGTAACAATACATTTGCTAATAATGAGGGTCTCAAAAACAGGTTGGACGAGTTTTTATTAGCAGATCTGAAAAGTTTTTACGAGGCAAAATAAATAGATTAATAATAAATTATTTTGTTGTTGGCATTCAAGAAGTGCGATGTTTTCGTCAAGCATAAAAGTTGCCATTACATTCTGATTAACTTTTGTATTTACTTACCTATAAAACCTACACAGAATTGATGCTGTTAAAAATAGGGTTCCTGTAAAGGCAAAAGATAAACACACGCTTCTCCCTTCCTTTGGAACCGCTTTTTCAGTTTATTTTTTCAGTATACTTTAATTAGGCATCGCAACAACTCTATTTAATGATTTGTTTAAAGCTAATTTTCAAATTAACCATACTGCTATATTTAACTCTCTGATTTACAGTCGGTGATACAGATGTCTGGGTTCCGCAGTCTGGGTGACGAAGAAGAGGTGGAATTCGAATGTCGTGCATCGTCAAAAGGTCTTGAAGCCACTTTAGTTTGTGGGCCAGGAACTAACGACTGCAAAGGCTCTCATCGAAGGCCTATGTCTAAAAAGAAGTTTCGAAAAGTTAGGTAAGTCTACTATACTCATATATTAATTAGTCCATTGCAAATTGCTTTAACTCTAAGACAACTATGATAAATGGTTGTTCTTATACTTTGGCCTAAAGAAACCGAGAGGAGTTCGAATAAAATATATAAATATACATTTATATCGGAAAGATCGCTGAAAACGTCTCTCTTATTGTTATTAATTATGTAGCTTTTCTAACTCCTTGTAACTGAACTGCCAATATTTTCAATCGCATAATGGTTTTGCCCCTTAATATAATTGTACACTTCATAAAGAGGCTGAGGCTTTTAGTAGACTAACAACCATGTTAAGTAACACACAAGATGTTCTACACAATACTGTAAAAGCCATTATTTGTACTTGCCTTAGGTGCTACAATTGCGGCGAATTCGCAAATCACATTGCCGCAAAATGTCGGGAAGGGCCTTTGCCAAAGCGGTGCCATCAGTGCAAATCATCAGACCATCTGATCGCTGACTGCCCGCTCAGGGCGGCCACATCTGTTCCTACGGATGCCATCACTAAATGCCCCAGCAGTCAGGAAAAGGATGCGAGCAGCGGGAGCGGCGGACACGGCACCACTCTGCCAACTACAACGCTCTTTGGTATGAAAAATTCGAACATTTCTATTCAATTGATTTTCGCAAATTATTTACATGTGTAGTGGTCAAATATACTTAGTTCTAATATAGCCGATTAGGACTTTTTGCTTTCGCAACTTTTTAGGGAAAAAACTGAGTTTTTAAGTGTTATTTAAAACATTTGAAGGTAGAGTTTCAAATTCACAAGAATAGGGGCTGCAAAACATAAAACTCCTATTTTTGAGAAACATCAGCTCTATAAATTTCTGATTCACTCCAAGAAAACAAACGTGCTGGTGTCATATTGGTATCAAATAATTAAACGGGTATTCATTTTACTCAAAAGTCTTAGGCATTTTATTTATAATGAGGTATGAAATACATATATGTATAGTAAGAATTATCAATGATGTTTTTGGCTAATTTCAGACTCTGGATTGGAGAATCAAAGCTCAGAAGAGGAAACAGACATTGGAAGCGCCGGTAAAACAGACGACCGTAGCAAAAATAACAAAAACAACACGAATTCATAAAATGTATACGAAAAACGTATCCCTGAAACGTATGCCAAAGGCACTGAGTTCATTACGAAGGATAACGATACTATTATTGCAATGGCAGATTATGTAGACCGCCTCCTTAAAACTATTCTTTACGCGTTGCTATACAACACATTCGTAACACGTATAGCCACTTAGAGGAAACTATACACAATAAATGTATTGGACAAAGATGGATCGATGCGGCTAGTGTACAACACCGTAAAATGGGAGGTTTTTGTTTGGGGGGGGGGGGGGGAGGTCAAAGTAAGGTAATTACTTTCTTCACAGGGCTCGAACATCTGTGTATATACATAGAATGTAAATATCGATCTATCACGAATAGTATTGTGTGTACATCGCAACTCGTATTGGCTCGCCACATGTTCCGAAGTAACGAGGTTGGGAATCTTTGTCACAATAAAGCAGCAAAAGAAAATAGCGAGTTAATACGATATCAAAGAAAAATGGTCCACAGGATCCGACAATGATCTGCTTTCTTGAGGAATACGGGTCTAATTATACTCTACTGATCTATCTTATTAGATTAATCGGCGTCTTATTATATTAAGCTATAGCTTGCTACAAATTTACACGTGATGATATTGGAGATAGGCCTTGTAAATCTCAGGTTGGTTTCTATTATGCTGTGAAACAAACAACATGTTGGATAGAAAAATTCCAAAAGGAATATCCCGTATTTTGAAACATACAAGGAAAACAGTCAGCTTTTAACGTGTTTTTAGCAGCTCATAAGGATACGTTCTTGTCCGGAGTAAAGCATCTAGTCAGCGTTTCGTATGATATTCCCGGCGAAGTAAATGGAATTACATAGGTAATAATTTAGTGGACGTAGTGGAAAAACTATAGAATGTTCCAGCGACGTGGAACACAGCAATTGATGATCGTACCAAAATGTAATAATTTAACAGCTTGACATATAATCAACGACAACACATATCGATTATAGTTCGGTATATTACGGGTTTGTATTGCTGATACAATACAATATATAATTAGTTATGCAACAGTTTCTATAGAATGAAGACGCTACACTTGTTAACAATTCGCGTTTTCAAAAAAGTCTCGGTTTCAGAAGCATGCATACTAGGATATACTGTGAAAGTATCTCACTATGATAAATCTATTAATTAGTAGATAAATACATAAACGACATACACAAATGGTAAAAAATATTTAGGTATCGTGATACACATCGTCATACTGTTTATAATAGAAGCCCACCATAAGCTCCAAGGAAAAATAATGATCATTGTAACTTTCAAACTTTCATACAAAAGACAATTTAGTGTAACCTTTAGAGTCAGGCTTATAACACAAAAAGCGAAACAACTTCAATGATTGAAACGACAAAGGGAATGAGGTTGTTTGTTATCCTATAGTTTTGCGAGCAACTGCGCCTGCTCTTCAGAACGAATCAATCGTAATCGTCTTCTTGAGCGGAAAATCAAAAATATTTTCTGTAGCGGATACCTCCTACGTTAATAACTCGATCGAATCGTACGAGGGAACCCTTTCCTACAGTAACAATATAAATGTCATATAGTATATCATAAAAATAGGTAGATATGAATGTTTCGATTTGCGAGTAAGCCAATACAGAAGAAGCTAAACTACAGGCCATGATTGTCGAAAAATATACCGTACGCTTGCAAGTCACTGCAGAAAAATAAAAGCTTACATCAGTTAACAAATAAAAATATTCCCTCACAAACTTAGCTTATTGTTCTTCTGCCTAGATAGTCAACTAGAAAATAAGAGGCCTTTTGCCAATAAAAGGGTGAGACGTACTTCAATGCAATTATTCTTCATTATTTGACTGAATTTTGTTTTTGTTAGAAATACGTAATCCTAAAGCATTTCTTCCACAAATATTTTGGGACTGATTTTCACCAACCGAAACTCTTATCCTATCCTGCTGTTTACATATACATGAACTGAATACAAAGAAACAAAGCTCAAAGAAATATATGGTTCTGCATAATAGAATGAGATCTGATAACATTTGATTTCCTAACTCACACGTTCTTTAGACTCCGAACTAGTAGGTAGTTTAAACTGCAGATTGATCTCATAAAGTGATCAATTGAAAGCAATTGTATGCGGACCTTTCGCGTTAATGATACGACCGTTTCTATACGTAGTGACGTGAATTAAAGTTAAATGATTAAACCTCTAATTGAAAACAACGCCACAGCTATAGTACCTTCGATTAATTATAAAGGTTATCAATTAAATAGCCGTATGAAGTTATTACCAATTAAACTAAAAGCTAAAAAAGGATTGATAATAAACAATAGTTAGCAATAAACTACTGAACAAAAAAATTACTTTTGCCGCTGTAGCTTTTAAGGAAAGCATACCGTTGTTTTAATTTGAGGCCATTAATACAACATTGACGGTACGCGTGGTTATAGAAATCTTTTTTCTCTATAATTTTTATAAAAGAGTTCAGTGTATTCAAATTTGGATCAGTTAAGTACGAGCAAAGATATCGTGCCAGATAATACTCAAGACATTGATGGTGTGTGATAATGATAATTGCGTGGCCAGATGTGAAGGATTTAATACGCTAACAGGATGCAAATTTTATGACACTGAAGGTAAAGTATTCCATAAAAAGCCGTCAGAAAACTAACGCATTAATTGACAATTAATCTAAACACCGCCACCTAATTTCTTACGTATATATACATGTATATGGAAAAAAACAGTAATATCAGCACGGTCATTGAAACACAGACACCTCGCTTAATGTGATTTTTCTATGAAATAAAACATTTTTTTTATGAAACTATCTTTTTAATCAGAGGGAAGCTTGTTTCGTTTCTCAGCATCTAAGCGTTGGTAGTATTTTTTTTGTTCCTCAATAAATTTATTAAGACTCTCCTTATCATCTGGGTCCAACATTCTCATTGGGATGAAATACCTGGAAGCACATAAAATTGAGTGTGCTGTCGTTATATTTTGTACAAGAAATGTTTGGTAAGTCAAGTAGCTCAGAAGCAAGTACATATCGCTTACGATTTCGCCAATTACCGTAAGTACTATTTTATATCGCGATAAATTCATAGCTATAAACGTTTTGGAACGACTCTAATTGAAGATTTCACGGTCACGTAGCACTAATCTAGTAAATCATTTGATAACGATCCACAATTGTATTAGCATATAATTGCATTATCAATTATTTAAAATGAAATATATCTATCTAAATTAATAAGACATTACTTAATTATATTCTGCGCGTCCTTGAGTTCGAGATTGTAGTCGCTTGCGGCCTGAGAAGCTTGGTATTTTGAAGGATCACTGGCATGCTTTTTAAGTAGTTGCGTTGCCTTTGAAAGGCTGATTCTGCCTTTGGGAATATAGCTTGGTTCAAAAAAACCAAACTCGGGGTCAATAGGCTTTTTCCGCGCTTCCGGAAGTTTTCGGCTTTTTTGGATACAGACCTACGATAAAAGACATACATATAGTGCTATTATATGGATTTACTAATCTTACAAAGTTCTTGTAATTTAATATATATATTAATTTATTTAATATTAATACTAACTCATATCCAATGAAACTATGATTCATAAACAAGTGGATAATATACATTTTTTTTATATGTTCTCATAGATTCCGTATATTCGGAAAATGTACACAACATTAACTTAATTAAACTCCGGTTCGGGACGTGGCTCCCTAAATGTTAGTGTAAACAGAAGTTAAACCTGACTGTCACTAGACCTAACTCAATTAACAATGAAAAAAAAAATTAGGCAACCTTGTGGGAATGGATGAAGAGACATCCACGCAACATACTTATCTTCCGCAAATTGTATGAAAACGAATTTTACTAAGGTTATTTACAACTTTCGTTAATTTCGCATGTATATATATAACACTGACAGCGATAGCGCATGCGTTTCTGTGCTTGCCGATGCTTTTGTTGGGATGAAAAGAAAATCCACTATATTTCCAGCACTGAAAACAAAACCATAAACTTAGCGGACACAGAAGGCCCGTCCTTGGACTATGAGCGAAAATCTATCCCAATGTCTTTTTGTCGAACGAACCTGTATTAAAGAATAACCTTACTTGGTTAGCAGAAATCGATGGTTGATCGAATTGCGATGGAATACGTGGTTGTTGACGAGTCAAAAGAATACCTTTACACACTAGAATGTAAGGAATACGTCATGAACACGACTGTAAAAAAACCACAAAAACCCGTTCTGATCTCCAAGACTATGAAAGACAAACACTCTTGTTCTCGATGGCGGCTAAATTTAACATGTTCAATCCTACCGTTACTCGAATTATTCACGAGAACCTCAGATATAAGCCTTAAAATCAGATATAAATCTTCTCAAAGCCTAGAGAGCTGAGAGAAGTGATGGACAGACTGGTCCCGCGGTGTCATTTGTTTCTGAGAATTCTCGAAGATGCAGTACTAGGAAGCTATCTTATAAGCTTCCGGAAAAAAAATCCTTGTAAGAATAAGCTCCGGTGTGCATAGGATACATACAAATATTTAGTTTCTGTTGAATGTTGTGTTTAAGGAAGGGTAAATAACGGTGCCATATGTATTTCAGAAGTGCGTATTTCTTCTCAAAAAAATTACTTAAGTATTTAAAAAAAAAGTGGCAAAACCCAGTACGGCCATTGTATCATATGTCGCGGGCTATACATACTCTGCTGAAGTACGCCTATATGTGGAAAGTGATTGAGAGAGAGTATGATCATTTTTAGTATGACGACGTGAATTCGCTCACTATTTGTTTTCATGTGCTCACGTCGATTAGTTTGAAGGCGTTTTAAAATATAGATAGAAACGTTTGGGACGGGTTTGTAAACGGTTTAGGCTCCCAGCGCTAATGGAACTTATTACGTGTAATGGGGATACCTTTGTCAACAAATACAGAAAGGTTTGTCTAGGTAACGCTTATCGTTTAATGCAGAGCCATCGACAGAATAGACATTTTTTGTTAATTAACGCGCCGTCCTGAAAGAGACGACGGCGGCAGCATCATAATGTCTCCTTAAATTATCACAACACTCAGAATGTGGATCTTTTTTCAAATTTTTCCCACAGTGGGGACATTTTTTAGATAGTAGGCACAATAGCAGTTGGTCACAATAGTGATTTTTGCATGTACGGGAAATATTTTTTCATGGCTGAGTAGTCGAAAATAGTTTGCCGGTGCATTCCTGAAAGAATTCAGAGACAACTGATACTGACCAAATCTCTTGACTTCATCGTCTTCAGGAAGTTTCTGTCTGATTTCAGTAGCATAAGACTTGCGCCTAGGTTGTTCATAACCAACCCAGCAATGATAGACGTAGAAGTTAATTTACCAGTCAAAACGGACATTATAAAGACGTTTCTGCATGTTTTTAATTAGTTACAAAGTTTTTCCAGTAATTGTGCTTACGTGTTCCTTCCATTCATGCCTAATGAAACCCCTGCTTCTGTCTCTGTTGCAATGGCTCATTCAGTCGCAATGTCTCCAGTCGTCGATTTCGGTTCACTGAGGATCGGTAAACTTCACTAAGAAAGGCTTACAACCTGCTCTGGTAAAATTCGTCTATAAATAAATTGTTTTAGCATGTTGTCTAATTTATGTTTGTTATCACAGACTATTTATGTTCGCGAAAACGTTCCAGTTGATGCAGTCTATGCAATTAAAAGAAGATATCTTCTCAACTAACTTCTGGTCTATCCTTATTACGTTATACTACATAATCTATTGTGTCACGGGTTCTTATTACATTAGATAGAAAATTTCAGGTTCGGCCTGGATTCGATATACTTATTTTTACAAAAAAAAAAATTTAGACCCACCAAGGAGAAAAACAGGAACAATAGTTTCACACCTGTAGTGAAAATAAGGTACGTAATGCAAATACAGAAATGTCACTCACATTTTTCCCTTCCGAAACCACTCGAACATCGTGAAGTCGTTGATGCAGTGCAGCATTTTTGGCAGTAATTTTTTTTAGAACTTCAGCTGCAATAGAGATAAATGTTTGTGTTATTTTGATAAGTGAAAATTTATTTCTCCCTTTAAATTCGTTTGGGATAGGTAGATCAGAGTATTTTATAAACAGCGACTGAATGATATTTATGGTCGTCGAAGTAACTAAAAATTAAGCTATTGATAGTAGAGCTGTATAGAATAGTAAAAGATTAACTTGTTTGTACCGTGCTGATGTAATGAACTTACTGGTAGAGATCCTTCAGGAAACAGGAAAATATGTCCATAGATGGTTCTATCAATTAAAAAACAACTTACGTTCTCTTATCACCGCTTTTAAATTTACTATCTTATTTATGATAATGCTGTAGAATCTATTACTTCATTTATTCTTCTTTTTCTATCTAGTATGGATAAACTTCACACTAGAAAACATCTTAGATATATCTAAGGCAGATGCTTGCAACTCTACAAGAACGCTTGGAACTGCAAAGCTTTTAAATTACGCAAACCTTGCATTTCGGGAGGTGTCGCATCTTTGAAACCGGAGTGTCGAGGAGCCTGAATAGGTTTCTTCCTTTCAATTGCTCGCCGTGCTCTATTCTCAATGTTAAAACTTCGAAATGGCTTTGTTGCAATTCGTTTCAGCGCATTTCCCATAACTATAGTTAGAAACGGCGCTATATTCAGCCAATTATCACTCCCGCGCGATGCCGACACATGCCCTGAAGCGCGCAGAGTACATAGCAGAGTTGGTTCTCTTCACGGTCGTTAGCAGACGAAACCTAATGGTCTAAAAACTTTCTACTAAATGCTCGGATAGCTCGAGAAAGTTCAGTGCACGCGTCGCTAAGTAGCAGATTAGAAACCATGCATTTAGAAATTATCTGATGTTTAATACTGGCTAATTTCTCATTGAAAGATAAGTGGTAGTTACTTATTGTGAATACTACGAGGTAAAAAGTAGTAAATATGAAAGAAGCTAGTCACATCAGCTAAAGGTATGTGTCCTACTTTCATTTCTCCGAAAAATAAAGAATACATACACACACGCTCTGGAGTGGTTTTCTGCGCCAAACCCAGCTGTGTTTACAATTTCGTGTCACGATCGTTCGAAAATCGTGTTGAATGTGTTTTTTTGTTTGACTTTTTTTGATGTTTCGTAAATAGGTGTCCACTAGATAGAGATGGCCAAGTTGAGCAAGCATATTCAAAACAAGAAAAAAGATCGGGAAAAGAAGAGAGCAAAGAAGTTGAAAAATAGAAGAGTCAGTGCAATTGGTAAGCACAAGCTCGACACGATTAGCGCCCTTAAAAACGAAATAAATAACGACCTTGAAATATCTAAAAATGTGCGGTCCCAAACAAAACTGACCAAGCATAACCGAAACATCAAAATACCAATTAATGTGGACCACAGAACGGAACAAACCCAACCCAAGAATAAATATGACGGTGAAGTTTCGATGTACTTAAGTACTAGTGAGAAAAATTACACTTTAATGGAGGCAACGAATCTGGCAGAAAAACCTTCAGGGAGCTTTGACTTGGTGAAAAAGGCACTTGGAGCAACCATTGATGCCAACAGGGTGACAGACGTAGAAAAGAGCAAAAGGCCAAAAAAAAACAATCGATGGAAAAAGCTAAAAGCTGAACTCCAAGAAAAGAAGAAGAAACGAGAAGATCTAAAAAAGAAGATTGATAACGTCAGTTACAATCAAGGCCATTCTTCTCATGCAATTGGCGATTTAACTGACGGCTGTGCCGCCAGCGACTTTAAAACTCTTATACCCAACGAAGCCAAGACTATTTCGCAGCGACAAGAAAAGAAACGCGAATGGAGGAGGCAAATGAAACGACTACAGAAGCTAAAACTCAAATGGGTCAAGGAAGGACAGACAGACATAGAAGCACTTGTTAGTGAATGGCGCCACAAAAAACGCGATTCATTAAACAGCGATGGAGGAAATACCAAAGGATCAAGACTACTATGCACAACGGAAGATAGCACACATCCAGATGCAATGAGCAAGAAGCAAACCAATGATGCAGTCACTGGAATAAAAGATCACAAACCAGCGGAGAAGATTTGCGCAGGTGAGAAAATGCAGGCCATAAAAAAGATAAATCTGCCAAAAAGCAACAGTGATGAGGTCCACTCTGATAACAACAACGACATAAGCCAATCTGAACCTGATTATAAAGTCAATTCTGCCTTCGAAAGGAATATTGCACAATTGAAAAAAGTCGGCACGATGAATAAGCAGAGCATGTCGGGAACCTCAGAGGTTACAAACAAAGCTCTTCAAAGACTTCGAGTGGCCCAATTTCGAATAATTAACGAATCACTGTATACACTAAAAAGCGACGAAGCTAGGAAATTGTTCGAGAATGACCCTTCAGCCTTCCAGATTTACCATGATGGTTATCGATCTCAGGTTTGCCACAACATTGCTTATTACGAATTATACGCCAAAATAAAGACAATTCTAGGGCAAATCTTCAATAGAGATACAGAAAGAAAATGAGAACTTGTTCGCGCGGATTAACACTTGCGGTGCATGAAATATAGATTTAAATCCATTTTCTTACAATGTTAGAAAGCCTTTCACCCATTAACCGATCAGTTGTTTCGAACTGATGTTATTAGCTTAAAACTGAAGTTATGTTATATATATATCAAAAAATTATAACTTCATTTTAACTTCATTAACAAACATTTACCTGCTGCTGTTGCTGTTCTGCTTTTTTCATGCTGTGAATATCGGCACGTATGTTGTTTGCACATTCAATGATAATATGTCACTTCATATTTGTTGGATATGGCAGTTCCTTATTGTAATCAAAACATATTGGGATCTCTTCCTTTCGTGTTTCCATTGCAGGTCTGTAAATGGCCAATAAATCCACTGGACAGAATCATCGAGGGAATCAAACGCACGGCACCGCAAGGAGCAATTATCGTTGATTGCGGTTGTGGAGATGCCAAACTGGCAAAAATATTGAAACCACTTGGCTATACGGTTTGAGCTATTCATACTTTATTTATTCATTTTAAGTTATATATCTGCTTTGGTAGTATGAACTAAAAAGATAAAAAAACAATTATCCTCCGGTGACTTGAGATCTCCATTTTAACTGAATGAAGCTAATACCTTTATTTTAGGTCCATTCGTTTGACCTTGTATCAAATAATGAGCACGTGGTCGCATGCAACATGAAGGATCTTCCTCTGAAGGATGAAACTATTGACATAGCTGTAATGTGTCTGTCGCTTATGGGTACAGATATGGGACAATTCATTCTTGAAGCAAATCGGATCCTGAAAACGAGGTATGATTGGTAGAACCTGTCGCATAAAATTTGCGCCTAAGTAATAAGGAAGTTACCTTTTGAATCATTTGAGGGCGTCCCTGTTATGAACGGTAGAGCTTAATGGCGCCAAGGCAAACATTCTGGACTAAAAATATATGAAAGACTGATAATAATTACTCTCAGATTGTAATCTTGAAGCATAGATTTGCGATGTAAAGATGGAAACCGTACTGGATCGAATTTTCTCAAAATTAACAATAAATTGTTCTAACTGCCATAACGCGGAAACATTAAAATACGTTTCTATACGAAACTATGCTTAACGTCAACACCATAAGTGACATTCCGACACATGCGTTAGTATTAAAATAGAAATCGTAACGGTGGATATGTCTGCACTTATAAGGTGTGCAGGATGTCTGCATGAATATTTAGATGAGAAATTCGCATAGACTACATTAAAGCTTAGTCTGTTCGAAAAAATTGTGGTGCTCTATTTACAAATGTTCCCGTCCCTAACCTGTACCATTACTGCACATGAAAGGAATTATCGCTACTGAGTTTGTACCTTCATCGAATGTCACTCATTTTTTTTACACTGGGGTTTTTATTAATATTCCGATTTATTACTAAAATTTCTTTCAGGGGTATGCTCAAGGTAGCTGAAGTAGAAAGTCGGATTCCATCAGCGGAGGCCTTTACCAATACCTTGAAGTACTACGGGTTTAAACTTTACAGCCAGAATACGTCTCATAATGTGTTTGCCTTTTTTGATTTTACCAAAAATAAAAGCGTTCCAAAGGCTGCTGAAAACAATATGGATAAGCCTCTATGGTTAAAACCGTGTCTTTATAAAAAAAGATAAAAAGCTAGCAATAATATGAAACAATAAAGTAATGCTAATTTTTGTCACATGAGAATTGCGTTTCCTATTAAATTCGTGGAGCTGTTACTAACTGCTTCGCGTATTGAACCGAAAATTCACTTATTTTCACCTAATATGCTTACATAAAGTAACGAATCACTATTTTCAGAAGAACCCTTTTAGATTTTTTTTTAAATGGTTTATCTCGTAATTAGAACGACTTATGTAACAGCGGGATAAAACGTATTTTTGCTACATTACTTTAAGAGTACGTGATTAAATTAATTTAAATTTACCTTATGGAAATAGGTATAAAAGGCCCTCAAAAAATCGTGCTAAAAATGAGTTAAAAAGAATCGGTGCGTTAATTATTTTGGAACAACAAATTTATAAGACACGTATAAGCTAGTCTCTTAATATTTCTTGAAAATGTGTGATGCCATTATTCTTAATCACTTTTTCCAATTTTTAGATTTTTTTTTAGTTACTATATATACATCATATTTTCAGATCCTGCTCGGAAGCCTATATAGATATCTGTAAAATCTATAGGTGTTCGATTCTACCATTTCAACTCCACACTAGTTTATTAGTGAGAACTTCTTGAAAATTTATTTGTATCCTATGTAACTGTCTAAGCGTGTTAAAATTTTTTTGGGGGGAGGGGCGTATATTGCATACAACAACAACCTTTGCACCGTAGAGCTTGTTTCACCTAAATTTTCTATTATTTCTGCAATAAATGATTCGTATTATGCTGCTTGATTTCGTTATACCTATCATTAATTTTAATTACTCATGTTAACTAACTCGCATTATCCGTTAAAAGCCGTCCTAATAATGTTGGTCCATACATAACAGTAATAGCGCGGTATTTGACGTCACGTCACGTATCCCATGTAGGATTTATTGAATAATATACTGGGCCCTGTATAGTATGGATAGATTGATATAGATATTCACTGTTTCATTGCATAGAAACTGATTAAAATGAATAATTATCTTCTTCCTACTCTTCCTTTTTTTTTGATGTTTGTGTTGCATTGGTGTGTATATAGATAGATTGACTATCGGAATCCTCGGTACAGAGGGGCCACTCTGCGCATGGTTATTCTGTTAAGCTTCAGATGTCATTGTCATTGTATTCTCGTTTTCTCGTTCTTTGCCATATCACCTTCTTTCTTTTCTACATAATATTATGGATTCAACATAAAATACAGTTACATGATAAGCTGATGCAACCAGAAGCGTGTCTTCATCCTACCAATAGAATTAGAAAGACTTCGATAGTGTATAACGGAAGACACGCGTACGAATACTCAAAAATAAATTTAAATTGAAGTTCGCTTAAATCACCTCCTCCACGTGTATAGATTCCGCTCTGTACGTGTATAGAGTCACAGGCTAACACTCGTATTGTCCACGAAGAAAGTTGCTTAGTCGGTTTTTCTTCCTTTACGCTTTTATGGGATGTAGTACTTTCTCCTTCCTTATTTGTTGAAGTTTGAAATGCTGAAAGAATGAATGAGTTAGGAATGTACCAGATAAGTTCTAGAAAATATTGACTGGATATACAATTTACAAATACTATGGCAAAAGAAATTCGAGAACGCATGACTAACCTACTGGACTGTCTGTTTTATGGATGAAAAAATCTGAGCATTCTGTCGTTTCGAGAGATCACACATTGCTTGCTTCTTTTGAGTGTAGCTATTCTATGGAGCGCTGCCAAGTGGTTAACAGTCGATGACAACTCTTAGATGAACCACACTTGGATGGTTTTGTAGGTAACAAAAAAGAGGCTCTACGAGCCGGGCTCAAAACGAGGCGGATGCTCCGCGGACGGCTCAGAAAAGCCGACTGAATTCATGCATCGATTCGAGATCGGACACCATCGTCGGTCTCTGTTTACATGCTCAGGCCAACAAGAGAGTTGTCTGCGTTGACACAACTCGTATAATCCTTGTTTAATCTCTCCGATAGGACGTTAGCCAGCATATACAGTCATGCTTGCCGGCGTCTGTCGATTGAATCAAGTGACCTTGTCGGCATCCACAGATTCTTCATGGATGAATTATTATTCATAATCATCATCTGGTCCTCAGCCGACTTCAGGTGAACGGTACAGAGTGCAGTCGCGACATGCGGACCAATTGCGGCGGACGCCGCGGAGCGTAGAGAGGTTGGCCAGACTGCTGCTTAAGAAAATGGCAAACCCGGCAAACGATACGAGAATGAAGGTGAAAACTTGAAGGATATGGACTTCGTAGAAGGCTGTATTGCACATCGAAGCACTGCTCCTGTGCTTGCTGTTGTTGATGATGTTGTTGTTGTTGTTGTTGTTGCTGTTGTTGGCGTTGATATATATATGTGGTTCTATAATAGCTGCTAATGAGGGTATTTCGAATCGCGCTGGAAAAATGGCCCCCCCGCGCCGCTAAGCCTCAACTGGGCGCCTTGGCAAATAACGCGAAGGTAAGATCGTACTCCTTAAACCGGCACATCTGCAACTCCTCCTGCTGGTAACCCACGACGACCAGATCGTCGAAGTGTCGCACTGCTTTTGAAGCGACAGACTCCTTTGATGCGAAAAGAGTTGCTACACATTTGCCTGGTCGGAAAATGCGAATAACGTCCGAGATAACCTATCATACAAATAAAAAATATACACCAAATGTTTCTTAATTACTCGTTTTCAATAAATATTTATAGGGATCGTATTTTCTATTTACGCCGGCACGTTCTATAATATATTGTAGCAACTGCACGTATCAATTGACTTTTTTTTATTTATTCCTTGTTTATAGATTACCGTCCTTTAGCACAAGATTAAACATCTCATCAACACAACATGCTTCATTCATCAGTGTTACTCACCTGTTCGTATTTTTCATGAGGGAAGTTTGTTTCAAAGCTGACATAACTGCATTGAGGCTCAGGCGTGATATGGATTGTCTCGTAATAGTCGCCCTTGATAAGGCCATTCATGGAGTAGCCACAAGGCGAAAAAAGGAAATCGTCAATTTTAGCTCCAGGATAGATAGTGTCGATGCCGGATTTTCGCGTTGCCTCCAAAGCGGAGCCCGACTCAGCTTGTGTAAAGATTGACATGATCTTTGGGTCTGTGAATGAAATATACTAAAATGTAGTACATTATAAAACAGCAAATAGCAGTGAAATAGGAGCATCACTGCACACACGTTACATTTGCTTACATACGCGGAAATACGACTTCTACACGAGAAGGGCTTTTGTGGTTTGTAAAGATAAGGTTATAAGTTACACTGTTGATTCTTACCAAGTTCCAGCATGATGAGCTCAAGGGTTTGATCGGCTCGATTAATATGGTGCCCCTGCAGCGTATATAGATACCAACAGTCGCGGTTGATGCTGCCTAGACAATATGCATTGCCATCTTTGAAAATTGAGTCTAGAAGACCGGCTTCCTCTTCAAATGATGAATGCGGTTTGTCTTGAAGTTCTGGACGCATGTAATTTTTTCGTGAATAGAAGACATCACGTACCTATACAAAAGCAAATGGAATGGATCTTGAATTATTTTAACAGTCATAACCCGGATTGAGTCTCCTCGCCTGGAACGTTTTTTTGATATTGATGTGTCAAAATGCCCCAAACATTTAATTGTCTTGTGGGTTTATACATGTTTATAATTATTTGTAATAAATTCATTAGGAATTCGTCGTTGTCGTACAGCATCATTCACGCGAAAGGTTTCGGCTCGTGTCGTAATGAGGTCGTTTCGCTGTATAGATAGTTTGATTGGCCAATTCTCTATAAAACGAGCCAAGCTAGATGTAATGATGAGGCTGAGGCCTGCCCTGATATAAGCAGGCTGCATACCTTGTCGAAGCCTGTGTACTGTGTTACGATGTAGAGGAGAGCGTTGACGCAGCGAAGTAATGTTGTAGTACCACAGGTCTTGAGGATGAAGCGGTCCCGAGAGATGAACATAGAACTCTCGCTGCAAATTATGATAACATTGTTAGATTCAAGAACAACCATAAAGCGCAGTCAAAAGGGAAGGTAGCACCGGTATCGCTAAAAATTAGAAATTCAAATTGGTCTTTGCAAACTTTAGTACTCTGCTGTACTAAAAATAAATAACCTTCAACAAAAATGGCGAAAAGAAAGAGCTGCATATTACGGGCGTTAATATTTGTAACTATGCTTCCCAGATAACCGCGCTATGTTATGTATCTGACGTAACCCGGCCTGTATTTATACATAATAGAGAAGTATACACGGAAATGACACTACCTATAGTTATTATCACTAAACATAACTGTCTACGAGTAGACGGTGAGACACAACTTATCCGTGGACCGTAAGTAATGGAAAGCCTCGTCACTGGTGGCTGGTAAGCACCCACCCCCGCGTCACACGTCCAGTTACCGAACCCCGCTCAAGAACACATACAACGTATTTCACAATTGGTTTTCGATTTCCGCTTTAATTGAAATCAACCTTTTTTTCGTGGATAACATGCTTCTGCTGAGTTTATATATTACATACGTTTTATTTAGAGTATAGAGCTGAAAGGGGACACTACTTAACTGAATGTTCACGCATTTCACCGTCTACTATGTAATGTAATAAGGCCATTACTTTAGAGCGCGGTAGAAAAGAAAATTCATTCAGAGGTTTCACATTTACTATTTAATAGGTTCGGACTTGTCTGCTAAGCAAAATTGCAAAAAAAAAAACAGAATCAGAGAGAAAAAAAAGAAATTTGAAATAAGGATGGTAGCGGTAGCGGTAATGGTAAAAACAGACAAAACAAAAGATCCAACCGGCGGCTGCCATCATCGCTAACACCGGGGTTTTTTCAAAAAACATTTTTCGGTTCTTGAGCCGAGCTAACGGAACCCGCAGAGAGCCCTCAGACGCCGAATAGTGAAATTACTATTACCTAAGAATATTCCTATGTATTCGAAAGTTGCCATAAGCGACAAAAAGGTAACTGTAATATGACTTATTTTCATTTCTTACCTAATAGTAAACAGGATCATCAGCACACAAACGACTAAATAACGTGTGTTCAAAACTGTGCCATGAATTTTTTTTGCTCCTATACGAGAAAAGAGCCTAACTCACTGCCACACAAGCACACTCACAGAAATAAAACCATTTCAACGCATCGCTAAAAATTCACACCTATTTCTAATTAGAAATAATTCAGAGAAAAATACGGGAGAAAAAGGAACAATCCCTAAATCAGTAAGCTAAGATATGCGAGCCATTATGTGCATTCTTTTATTTTTCGAAGTTTTTCGAAGCATTTCGAACGCTTTAGAGAGAATCTGAAGCGGTCAGGGGCTCAACTGCATCATTGTGTCGCCGTCCTTGTTGATTTTTGGTTGCTATCGCGTAGCAAAATAAGTATCATATAATACCCTCCGAGGACGCGAGTCAATCCCGTCTCATGAGCTTAGCTGCTGTCTCAAAGACGGCGCCGGCGTGACGGTAATCTCAGTGTCGGACGGTGCTCGAATGTTGGCTCTTCTGAGCGACGAGGCCTACTAGCAGCAAAACGTTGTTGATACTGACGAGGTCGCCGGAACAACCTTCGTTTTCGAAAACCACTGCCCGATCATGACACAGGGTCTGGAGACGATGTCCCAGACCCTGGCAAATGTCGATTCCTGGCATCATGAACACGGTGACCACTCAGGCCAGAGGTGTCCACAAGTGCGTTGACAAAAGCACAAAGTTTGCTGTCTTGTTTTTCAAATATAGGCTACACATATTAGGCAATACTTTTTCATTAACTTTTGCTCAGGATGGCTTTTAAGACACCTCTGCCCTGACGGGTCAGCTGTCCACGATCCCGGGATTGAGATGGAGGGAGCCTGTGCTGAAAAGTACTCGTTAACTAGGATCAGCGTATGTCGTGAGAGAATAAATCAGAACCTCTGAACAAGCACGCACATACCTATGCTAACTTACATGCAAGACCTCAACGGCACGAAAACTGTGTAAACATACTGGATTTTTCCAGATTCATTTTACTTATATTACATTTCCGGCGCTATGTATATTAATGATCAGATGCTTTTGACAAACACACACGAAGTTAACGACCCCCAAGGACCTTTAAACTACCGGATCAAAAGAATTAGAAATACATGTTAGCCATAACTGAAAAGCAGCGGCGTAGAAGAAAAGCGTAGTAACATTAATGAAGTCTAGTGGATCAAACGATGCAACTCACCTTAGGACGTATGAGTCGAGTTCATCGTTGCTTAGCTGGGAAATAATTTCGCATTTCACAAGTTTCAGCATCGTCTCCCATGTCGTTCTGTGAATGGAATGTGTTAAATAGACAGCGGTGACAACGTCAGGCTTCATAGTGGGTACGATAATTTTAACATACGTTTTGTTTCGCAAAAACTTAACTTCTATCCGCTATCATAGAGTTAATAAGTTTAAAATAGTGCACTGCCCCTACCTGCCCCATCATCTTATATGTAATTTTTAGTTTTTGCTGTTAACTTCATCATTTGAAATGTAATAGTTTCTAGAGGCATCTAAAAAGTCACGGGTCGTAGAGATCATTTCATGCATTTGATCTGTTCATACCAAAAGTTTCGTAATTCGTTTGCGTCAGATTCTGTTCAAATTGTCATTTGTGGAACATCTATTTGTGTTACGATCCCATACTAAAGCAAAACAAATTCCGTATATATTAGATGTTATGCTGATTCAAAGGATAACCGGAATCTGATTATTTTTCCCAAGTTATGTTTATGTTATGAAGCGATAAGCGACATCCTTAAAAATGACGACCGTTTTAACTAACAGCCTTGGTCAATCTAGCAATAGCGTTAACCGTAGCTAAGTATCAAGATTTGCGTTGACTTTTAGCCGCGTTTTATGTTGTAACGGAACTCTACCGATCATGATCGGGCGTACGGCCACCTTGAACAAACTCACGTGCACATATAACAATATCAGATTATCACACTAAGTCATTTGTATACGGTAAGTATAATGTAGCCACCGTGGCCGCTGGACAGTTTATCCGTCAGCATGCTGACTGCTTTCTTACCAAGTAACTGACACTTTTTGCGCTTTGTAAATACTACAAGCTTGTAACCTCGACTACTTACGAAGTAAACCATCAAGTGATTGTATTTTTGAAATCATAACATGGTGCGTGACCAAGGTATAGGATGGCTATTTTATGCCCGTCTTTTGGGGAAATCCGTTTAATTGCACTTTCAAGGAGACGCTTGAACTTCGAAGCTCGGCGGCAAACGGATTTGTATGAGCATACGTTGCCACTAAGAAGGCTACAGGTCACTAATTATAAGAATTGTTCGCATTTTTCAAGGAAGACAACATTAAAATTTCAATGGCAGCATATTGGATCGTTATGCTGCCGTGGAGAATTACCCTGAAATACGTTTCGTAGTAACTTGACAATCATAATTCGTTACGCATGTAACCGGACGTTCTACACGCAGTAAATTGAGTTAGTTGGCAATCGATGAAGTGTGGTAACAAGTGCCATTGTTCGTTGAAGCCCAGCCTACATTTCCAGGCTAATCCTTGTCAAATCCGCACATAGCATGGCTGGATGGCTTCGTAAGCGGGTACACGATTTCTACTTAAACTTAAGGGATACCCCAGGGCCTGACACTGCTGTACTTCATGCCGTCTTTTAATATCGATTATAATCGAGATAACTTCGCTAAAAGCTAAATGCGTAGTTGAGTATCAGCGGCTCTTCTGAGTATCAGTACAGTAATGAGCGATAATACAACCAAATACGACTTATAACCAATCAAAAATTCCATTGTCGTATGCCCATTAACCATCATTGCCTAGTAACGCTGCATTATCAGTTTATTAATAAATTGAACATATTAAAAATACCCAACTGGACGTTGCTTCTTCGCGCTTTTACTGCAGGGTCTCATGGAGAACCACTGCCTCTTGGCTAAGATAAGCCTTTTATCGTGTAGAGGCTGGCAGGTTTTCGGGCCCAGTGATTCAAGGCGCACGTACGATGTCATGCAGTACAGTTGTTAAATTGCTGGACAAACGTACATTGTAGCTGGAGCGCACTATGAATAATAGACGATAAGCGAATACCTCTTGAGGTGATTGCTTCGAATGGAAGTGATCTCTTCTTTCCGCCGCTTTATTTCGTGGTTGTCATAGTCAGACGCTTGGGAGCGCGATTGTAAAAACATAAGCTAATCACAATTGGATGGGTTGTTGAGTCATATTTCTAGCTGGCCAGTACTAAAATGGCTAGAGTGGTGATTAACTGCTGCCGCCGAGCTCGGCAGTTTCTGTTTTTAGAGACTACAACAGTTGCGTCATCCGGGACTTGTTTGCGTGAAATTCTAGGAGAATTCATATTCTTTCTTTTAGCGGTCGAACCCGTCTAAATTCATAATATGAGACTGGTGCATGGATAATGGCCTTTTTGGTGAAAGACTGCTACTCGTATTTTGAAAGTCTACAGATTGAATACCACAGATCGGTATACTTGCTCACAAAGACAATATTTTTGACTTTTATTATCTGCTATTTAGGCAAAAAAATCTCTCAAAACGACCCGAAATAGGTATAGCCTCCATAGCGAAAGAGAACGACGACTCTATATTCGAAAACTAAGTTCCGAATGAAATGTGCCATCTTAAGAACGGACTGCACTAAATTATTTAGCCAATTGTAAGCGGAGACAATTGTCAGATAAGCTTAAATCTTTTGGATACAATGTCGTCATTGCGCGCGAAACAAATAGCCCAGGTTTCTTCCGCGGCCTTTTAGCAATGAAGGACACCTTAAAAATACTTTTTGCCATCTTACATATCCAACTTTGCAGCTTGAAGTAATTTTGTGATCTACATGAAACGCGATCAGTAGTGACAATGTTGATTAAAGCAATTAAAGCAGCAGTTGTTTTTAGATTAGAAGCGGAAAGCAACAGACAAAAGCGGCCATTACATAAATTTAATTCCTTAAAATCGCCGCCCCACATAAATGAATCTTAACTGCCCTATTCAAACTTTTTTTAAACAAAAAAGTGAGTTATTTTCTAGTGCGTTGCTTCTCGTTCATTTAATCACTCCGGATCAGATAAGATCAAATTTTGCCTGATCTCAAAGATAAGCACTAAAGCACTGAAGATAACATCGAGAACACGTTTCGTGATAGATGAACTAACACCGAATACCTCGGCCTCAGTTATTTCGGTACTAATCAGTACTACTAAGAAACAAAACGTTTACAGCGCTTTCGAGTTGCTTCCTGAGCTGCACATGTTAACCTGCGTTAAAATTTTAAACGCCTGTGAGAATTGTACGATTGAAAATTACATTAATTTTATTATAATAATAGTAAGACCTATTTCAAATTATTAATATTGTTTAACTGATACGCAAAGGTTGCACCGTCCACCGTTTAGCTTAGAAGTTTACTAATAGAGATTTACAGAAAATTAGGATGACGAATTAATTGACGGCTCGTGAGTGACCCCCCCCCCCGACATATGTTTAACCCTGGCGGTTGCGGAAGGCTGGTTGTACCCAGGCTATAACAGACGTTCTAATACGCCTCTCGAAAAATTACCTAACATAGATTTAAAGATCGGCGGCAATTTCGCGGAGCGTCTTGCTTTATCACGGACACTGACAGTGCCGTCTGCAGTCACCAGACAGACGCGCACTATAGTTATCAGCCATCTACCCTTTGTATTGGAAAGTATCACTATTATATTATAGTACATTATATTACACACAGACATATACTAAAACCGCTTGGCCTAGCGGCCCCTGTTTCCATCAAGTTAGACTGTTGTATATTTTACTTAGCAAGAAATAAGGCTTTGAGTATGCTCATGTTCAGCTTATTCGAATAACTATTGAAGGTTAAGTTTTTAGGCTGTTGGAAGTGTTCAAGTTCACCTTCCAGGATTTACCGATTTTCCACTACTTTACCTAACAGCTCTATGATATTCGAACGTGGTACACATATGACGATAGATGGCGATGATAGATACGACAAAGGGTTCTACGCGTTTGAATTTTAACATCAGACGAGCTGGAAATGCGATATCTTGATAAAGAACATTTTCCACTGCAGACGTCCGCACCATTATTAACTGCCATTACGTATATTCTAAAGTTAGATGAGTTTTAATCGATGTCTAGCTTAAGCTCATACTTCGCGTCGTGTTTTTTTGTGAATAGAAGTAACTCGAACATCAAAACTCCAAGTATTTATCAAGTAATGATGTATTTTACTACGCACTAATATTAACTATAGATAATACTGAGATTTAGCTTTTATTAGCAGCAGTTTTCTTTCATTGGACTCAAGTTAACTGTCTAACGTAACGCACGCTATAACGTTGCAGGAAAATCGATTCTAGGCTAAGCCACTTGGAATCTTTTCTATAGAAGCCCTAAACCTAGTGGAAGGCAAAGCTCAACATGTCCATCCGGCAGCTGCTATATCCTCGGTTCGTACTTTTAGCCGATTTAGTAACATCCGCGATATGGAGCTTATTTGGCTTATTCGATTATCATTTTTAAATGTAACCTATTAAATACTTAAATAGATTCATTGCATTTTTAAGTGAAATTTAAAGACTGCTGATTCTGCACGCAGAATGTATCTGTCTCTTTATCTATCTATATGTGTACGAACAGGTAGAAATTTTGAAAATGAAATTACCGTGTTGGCCACTTGAACTCAATCTATTTCATATGGAAGCCCGAACGGCATCCGATATCTCCTGATGATTAAACGCGTCGAGTTCGTACGTGTGCGTGCTGGCCGAATGACATAGTTGGTCGAACACTTTGATCCATTACTAAGATTTACATCACTGTTATTACATTTTAATATGTGATTCTAGCTCCGTTCAAGCTAATCTTTGTTCACGGAAATAATGCAAATTAGATAGGAATGGATCATAGAATGATGCGATTAATATCTAATGGGTATTTTAGTGCAACAAATTATCGCTATCTATATGAAGTACAGGCTTGATCATGCGAATCATAATTAGGAGAACACTGTATACGATTATTGTATAACCAAAGAAAAGGAAGTGGCTTCATTTTGAAGTTTCACGATACACAAACATATGACAACCTTTAACCAAGACCGTACGACCTTAATTTATATTCGATCTCGGAATCCATCTTTCAGTGTTTAAAGATAAATTTTTAGAAATTTTTGGAAATATACACGCAAGTAGAATTTTATACCTGTCAGTTCGAGTATTCTGTTTGGATGAATACGATGGCACAATGTCCGAGGTGAGTCGAGCGGATCCGAAAGACAGACTAAACAGCGTGGTCTTATGTAGATACATTATGTGCAGTCCACATTACAGAAATACAAATGCCAGCATCATAGTGTGTTTATTGCAGGTTGTCCACCCTTTACAACTAAGAAAAACTCGTAAGACCTCGTTGTTTTTGCAGGAAACCCTTCGATTATGTCTTTTCTGTAGTCGTTGCCTGATCGATGGAGCTCAGAGCACAAGGGTAACAAAGCTACAAAAAGCTCAAGGTCGCAAGCTCTCCTACAGACAGCAGCGGCCTCCGCACAGCAGCCTAGAGTGTAGAGGTATCGGTTTACGGCCCGGACGATCTGGAGTTCCTGGAAGGGCCTTTCCCTCAATACGCTAATTTTTCTAGTTAGTGCTCCTTTGCAAATAACACGCGTCACAATAACATTATTTTGATCTGTTCGAAACGAGCTGATATGCTACCGTAAATGATAAAATAGATTATTATGCAATGCGGGACTCAGCTAGAAAAATTTGAAAACGAGTCCTTATAGATCCAGCAGCTGCGTGGGCAGCGGGTTTCCGCTTAGCTGTCACCATACACACTTTCCTTATTTTACAGTACTGACGGTGACGGCCTTTTCGATGGTTCATGACCTCTACGGGCGCCTTCAGGAGATTCGAATGTATTGAGCCTGGGTGAAATATTTGCCTATGAATGCCTAGGTAGTGTACCTGCATTTTGTGCTTAGCAAAGCTGGCCGTGCTTGCAGCCTATGTATAAAGAGCGGCTACCTAAAGTACAACAAATCAGCCACTCATTGATAACTACTAGACGGAACGTCTAGTGTGCATAGACCTCGTTGACGTCCATTTTACGGACAGTGTACTGGAAAAAGCATAGAACTCGTAAGATCTCAGACAATCATCGTACCGGACACTTCATTTTACACTATAGGCACTAAGCGACAACAAATTAAAAAATGCTTTTAAAAGTCCGTCGACGCGCAGCCCAAATTATGCTGATTTATTGCGCTCATGACGGGCATGATGTACAGTAACCGAAGTATTCAAATTCTGTTTTCAGCGATTTGCTACTTCGCAAAAAGCAAGCCTGAAGCAAAAACGCAATATGCGACGCTTTCGCAGGGTGCAGGATATTGTGGGGGCCATTAAGATAGAAACGACGTTTGCTTGTTTATTGTGATTTGCTCAGTGTTGTTTCATATAGCGTTTTAATCATACATTTTGCCCTGCCTTGAGAGGCATACGATTTTGAACCAAGTAAAGCACTGCTCCGGCTATATGCGAAACCATTCCCCCCCGATATATAGAAGCAGATATATGTCGTGCCTTCACAATTCTACCTACTAAGTAGATCCATTGACGAATTAACAACCTGATTCATAAACCTCCATCTACTAATAACTCAGAATGGTAGCCTAATAATGATGTGTGTACACCGGTCGGGCGTCTCTGTACTGCCAATTAAGCGGTCAGCACGCTCAGATGTTTATATATATGGGCATCTACTAGAGCAATATGCGCGATAAACAGTAACATACCTTGGTATGATTCTAAGGTCGTACTTTTTGTGGCACTCGCTGGAGGATCGGGTCCCGAACCAGACCTCAAGTAACTTTTCGGTTCCCTCGAAAAAGTCGGTCTGGAAATCGTCACTAGACTCATTCATTGTGTCTAACGTGGGTGTTCTGTGCTTTCTGATATTTGTCTCCTCTCTCCTGATGAGTGACGACGCGCGTCGTTTTTTCGCAACTTCAACGGCTGTTATCTACTCTTGGTACTCTTCTCTTGGTTCTTCGTTTTTTTTTTTCTGTTAGTTCTGCTGTCCTGCTTTGAGGCTTTACAAATATAGAAAAAAAAAACGTTTCCAACTCCGGTGAGTCGTGTTGTTGGCTTTTCCGAATATACTATATGTGATTGTCTCTGTGACGCGCGTTGTCTGTTACACCACACACTAAAAGACACAATTGATCTCCACTACTTTAACGACTAAGCGCGGCCGAATGGAGCAGAGCGCAAAGGACACAATACAATACCACTGATCAAACCACTGACTACGACTAGTTTCGGCGGTTCGCTGTGACGGACTGACTAACTGACGGTAAGCAGTGCGGCGCTATTAGGTTCCAGTGCTCGTAACGATCGTTTTGTAGCCGCCGCCGCCGCCGTCGCTCTCTGCCAGTTCCCTGCTATGCTACCTCCTTCCTGCGGCAGGAATACCCTCCTTACCAGCCAGCCGAGCAAGCAGCTAAGTCGACAACCAGCAGAAGCGGCGATGACGACGACAACAACGTTGTTGCCGTCAACGACAGATCCTTCAGCTACTACTGCTGCGGTTGCAATTGGCTGTGCCACTGCTACTTCTATTGGCGGTATCGTGCGCTGTCTGTCAGTGTGTCTGCATTTTTTTTCCCCTATTGCCGTCGCGGCTCACCTTTGCCGTGGGGGACGATGAACCAGCATACTGTTAGCACGGCCAGACAAACACCACAGATCGCGGCGCCGCTAAACTTCACCTCCTTTCTATGTGCCCTTTCCCAGCCGTCTGCCACTGAGTCAACCTTGCACCCTTCGCCGCCGCCGTTCCTGCTACCGTCAGCCCATTCCCACTGTCCGCTCCGTTTTGAAAACTATAGCTGACACCGGTGGCTCTCTGGCTTTTTGGCTTCTTGGACCGCAGCAGCGGCTAGAGCGGCAGGTTGCCAGATCTTTCACACTGAGTGCGGTCACTCCCTGCACAATTCCGACAGCACTCACGTCTCAATGGGAGGGCGAGTGAAACGGAGGAGGAGGAGGACATGGAGAAGCAGGAAGAGCGTACGGTGAAACTGAATCAGCCGAAAACACAAGAGAGCGAGGTCTCACGCGTATTTATTGAGTGGCCAACAACAGCAGGTGCGTAGTAAAGCTGGCCGGTTGGCCTGCGGAACCAACAGAGCCGACACACAAACCCACACAGATGCGCATGGACAATCAAGAAATGAAAGACCGAGCATGGTCTGTACGTAACTGAGAGGGGCGGGAAGGTGCGATATTGATTCTTATTGCCAAGCAGCGTATAGGTCTTAAGAAGCAACCGATAACTAGATAACCTAGTCCAAAACCGAATAAGAGGCTAGAAATAAAGTAGACGAATCGGTCGCATGAGTAATTGATGCGAACTGGAGACCGATGGATAAAGCAAGCCGATCTGAGGCAATGACACTAATTGGCAGATGGTGCCGTTCGCTTTGTCGCGACACGGGGAGCTATCGCGAAGTATACGGGTAGACGGACGTACGCATCAATACGCGTGCCAGAAGTGAACCAAACAGTCGTTGGAAGGAACGAACGAAGCTCACTCAACACATAACAATCTTCGAGGCAGTTATGTGAACGTACTGTCATCCATCATTGAGCTAGAGAACTACAAAGTCAGAAAAAAATGGAAAGGCAACACTCAGGATTACATAGATACACATACATAGATAGAGGCATAAGGGAAACTACTTTGCATTCAGTTAGTCAAGTCTAGACCAATATAATATGCAAGTTGAAATATTGATGACCATAGTGTGCGAACGTTCGTCTTATGAGTGCCTTACATGATGCAAATTTAGAATTTTTTTTGAAGTAAGTGCTATATGTTTGTATGTACATATATGTATGTCAGTGGTAGAACAAGTTGCATCAGACATAACAATAACAGCTGCATTAAGGCAAATTGCAGTTAGTTGAGGTGTATTTTTAACGGCCACCTCCACCATTTTTCATGCCTGCATTTCTTTTACAGTATCCTATAATATGCTCTTTAATGCCAATGCAAGTGTGGCGTTATAACAATTGATTAAATAGCCTTGTTAGCGTAATAGGAATTGCACGATCCTAAGGTAAAATTCTTTCAGTAATCGATTAAGCATTCACAAATCTTTACTGGTTTGCCCGTCCTGTACTACATAATGCCTTGTTGGCCACGAGCCTAAGTACAAGGGACTAGGTACAATAAAAAGTCCTACCAAAGACCACCAGGCGCTTTCTCCTGCTTGTAGAAAGCTTTATCGAAGACCGCGCATTATATTCTGCTTATCGCAGTGAATATGATCCATGTGGTAATATCACCTAAAGTCTTCGTAGCATACATTATCAAGGAGTGTCAAACCAGTGGAGGTTATGGCTATAGAAATTACGCGAATGTTTACAAAACTTCCGGAGTTGAAAGAGATGATTTACTAAGATCAAAGGTTGTGAATTGTATTCGGCTACATGTTATAGACCAAATGCGTTCACAATCGTATGTTGTGTATATATACACAACAATTGTATATATAAAAAGAAAAAAAAAACATGAAAAATATGTGAAATCGATCGTTTGCATATAATGAAGTTTTTATGTATTGGAATAATGTATTGAGGAAATTGCGTTAGAATACGTTCAGTGCATTTAATTTCATTTATTAAACGCACGTTTGATGCGAAGAGCGAGAATAATCTTAATGCACCATAGAACCAGCGATCCAAGCCCCGTTTTTAGTCATTTCGGCAGCAGGAGCTAAACCTTTATTGTATAGAAATATACAAAATCGCTCTAATTCTGACACTTATTTCCTCCTCGTAATCCACTATATGAAGACGTAGCTTTTTCGTGACACATTGTCTGATTGCACAGGAGAGGTGTTAATCTTACTGAACATTTAAAATCTCTGTTTTTGGTCATATCATTCCACGTTCATTCGCGCAAACCGTGGGGCGTTTCACGTGCTTATCATTCCTACGAACATATTAACAATGAATGTACTACGTCATTAGCTGTCTGATAGTTCGTCCAGCTGGTTTTAAAGGAACCTATTCATCGACAAAGATAATTTACAATTCCGTTTTTTTCGAAAGCGTAGATAATAATGTTGATGCAGGTGCCATAAGGTGGACAGTTTTTGAGAAGTTAAATTTTCTTTACAAATTCGATGCGCGAATTTCTCGTTATTATGGTTCTTCTAATTTTAATTTGCCAAGTAATGTTTTTTGCAAGATGTTGAAACGAAACGCCCTGTTTTGAATTAACTTTCGCAGACATATCCGATGTTATGCGTGTACCCTCATAGAAGTGTTCAAAGTTGTTATAGGTGACATTTATGAGGATCCCTAGATTAAATCTGTAATTTTAACGTTAAATAAAAGGATAAGTAAGATCATTTTTTCCACTTGAGAATAAAGGTGACATTTTTGTCAAATCAATCAGTCATTATCAATTTTTTGATAAAGGATTCGTCGATGAATTTCTCCTCTTTCTCAACCATTTTACTTCACGATCTCCAGAACGTTTCGACTCTGGTGTTAAAGATAGTTTTTGCTGTCAAATACACTTGCTGTCAAAAGCACTGTTCCAAATTTCTTTACCGATGATTGGAGAACGTAGCAACACATCGGCACGTAATTTGGACTCAAACTCTGGCGAAGTGGCTTTAACGATCTACATGTATGACGTAACGTTGTCTTCGAGGAGGCGACTTTGTTTTATGCGTCAAACCTGTTTTATTGAACAGTCTTGCTCAGTCGACGTAACTAGCTCATATACAGGTATCTGTTGGCCGTCTGATTCTTCTCAAGGATTTCCCGGTGTATAAACAGCTCCACTCCCTTTGAAAGCAAATCATAATATTTTCGAGATAAAGATCCAGCCCTACTCTAAGCTTAGGCTCATTTTCCGGAGTTACCCACTTCTTTCTTTTCATATCGATATGGAGATATCATTTCTTCTTATCCGTAACAATTCTGTGTAAGAACTTGTCATCGTGGGTGCACGTTGCTTGGTGCCAAGCGTAAAGCCAGAAGAAGCCGTGCTTCTACGTTCGCCTCCTACCAGGGTGCTAATTTTTGATAAAGTTCTGTAAATTCAAGACGTCTGACGAAAGTCAAATGTTCGCAGTTTAATTTCTCTACTAACTAGTGTCTGGTTTACTGTCCAAGATCCTCATTGATCTCGGATGGTTGATCGGCGTAGGGTACATCTTTCAGGTCCAGAATCCCATTTTTAAACGTGGTGAATCTTTTCGGACGATCTTCATAGTTATGGAGTTCGTCCTGTGCACGGCACAACTGTCCTCAGTACTTCAACAACTATTTGACCTTGAAAAATGAACAATGAGAACTACCTATTATTTGAGCTTGACAGCAGATGTTCCAACCAAATAGGCTGTGGAGAAAGAAAAACAGGCAACATTGCTATTTCCAGAAACAAATTACCGTTTTCACTAACGAGTCGTTTATGTGACTTTATAGCTACAAGTCATGGACAATTACCGAAGGCGTATAAGGAATCGAACATTAAGAAGCGTGAGACACATGTATACAATGAGCTCCTTTCTATTGAACTCTTTTCGTTTCAAATAAGTCGTTATTTAAATAAAATCTGGCAGGGGAACGCTTACACATATGTCACGTAACTTTTTTGGTAAAAGTGTAAGTTGGTACCACTGGTGTGTTGCAGACTATCGTCAAACTTTAATTCACTCCTCAGAGAACGGCCGGCCGCAATGAAGGAATGAAATTTCGCTAGCCTTAGTAATGTTACTAATATAATATTTGTATTGATCGATTCTTGTCCTTGAGAAGGCCCATGTCAAATTCTAATTTCTTCATCTAAACCATTTCGGAAATTCTCGCATAGTCTGAGTTGCAACGATAAATCTAATGTGTGAAAAGAACCGAATCATTTGTAACAGAATCACAACTTATGGAGCAATTTTAAAAAGCTCAACTACACTTTTTGGGGTTACGGCAGTATATTGATATACTCCCACGTGGCTGATGAGCTATATTTCAAATATAAGGCCGACGTGATAGTTATATAATCATATTATTCACCTGTTAGGTTAATTTTTTTTTTCTCTCTCGAAGCTATCCATAGGTTCTGTAAAAATATTTGCATTCACCCAAACCATAAGCAATGCACCGTGCTTTCCGACTAAAATCTTTGAAATATGTAGGCCTATTCTAGTAATATAAAACCAATCCAATCTTTCGAATGATATTTTCGGGTCCCTCCATTATGTCTAACAAGAATTTACTAATTTATAAGAAATAAAAAAAAAATTGAGTATCGGTTTTAATAGAAGGTACTCATAGTCCTGTTCGAATTAGGTTCTCGTGACCTAAATATTTGATCAAAGCATGAATATCAATCAATCAATGTAGATGAACGGCCAGTTTTTGGCCACTAAGAGAATGACCTCGTTTCATTTTCGCTGTCCAAAGGACTCAGATGTATTCTACTAGCGGTATAAGCTGCGGAATACTATTGTGAATCTCTACGACTGTGTACGTTGAATACGTGTGTGTCTCTCCAGTGTCTAACTTTGTTTTATGGCCGGGTGCGTTAGTGTTGGCAATTCTCAGACGGCAAGAACGATCCTCAAAGGCGCCTCCAGAGGCCACGCACACCCTCCAACGTCGCGTCTGACAACACTAGTTCATAACAAAGTCGCAAACAACTATATCAATATACAACAAGCAAGATCCACTGGTATAATCAACAGCAAGATTTCCTCTTCTTGCCTCAATCAAGTTTCGTATCGCCGAAGCGATCTGCCTTGCCAGGAAAACTCCTTCAGCCCAAAATTACGCGTTTTTCAGACTCGCCAGAAAGCCGCCTTCTATTTTTGGGAAATAATGAGTCTACGACTTTTCTGTTAGCCTATCTCGTCAGGTGGCTTTTCTGGGAGTTAGTTCAATCTTGACGAGCTTTTGCTGATGACTTTTTTTTTTGAGAGTTGGGGTTGTCAACTACCTTACGAATAATCTAAACGCATATTAATATCTGGTAGTTACGGTAATAATAAAAGGGTGACTGTTCTTAAACTAGTTGAAGCTATTTGTGCAGTGACCGGTAAACTGAAGAAGTCTTTCCATGATCCGTTTTCATGAGATAATGACGTAAAATATCAACATAGAAGTCAGTTTGATAAGATTGTCTTAAATTCACCATACATTCTATTATAGCTTAAACATGTTCTGCTCTTTATGACCATATCTATTGTCCATGCTCAGCATTACTTTTGTCGTCCCGAAGGCAGGAAACCATTAGAAGTGGTTTCATGCTGAGTGTGACTGATTTGGCAATAATTATAACAGTTACATTAATCTGTACCGTGAATGTCTTCTTGTATGCAATATAAGCTATCTGTTGTAACAAATAAGTCAAAGAACAATATTTTCAAGAGCATTGTGCTTTTTGGCTTAGATTTCATGGTAATATGGCAGTTACTGGTCAATAGCTTTCAATCCAAAATGTAGTTCTTCGAATTATTTTATTCAACTTTTATCAATGTGCGTTCAACTTATATATTTGTGTCATGGTAATGTGTGTGTAAAACACACTTTCAAAGCTTACCTAGTAAAAAGAGGTTTTCATGATAAAAATATTCAATAACTTTGCAATAACTAAGCAAATAACTATTTGCAATAATGACGGCGATGTTGTTTTCAATCATTCATTTCTGGAGGTGTTCATCATTATCAAATCTGGAAACACTAACTTAAGGCTCAACAGTGTAGTTAATTATCTTTCGCATGAATTAGTTTATTCATTGAATCAGTGAGAGATATCGAGTGTAATATTACTTACAAAAAGTTCAAATTATAGAAAACAAGAGTACTTGTCCAGAAGGCGTCATTATGACCGGAATTTAATCAAGCGCGAGTTTATTGTTGAGGTTTTTAAAACCGTAAATCACCATCTGTGAAAGATTATTTCGCTAACTTCAGCCTGAGATTAGACATGCGTAACAAGTTATTAACATTAAAATAAGAATTGCTTACTGTATACTGCCTAGACTAAGAATTAGAATTCAATACCTATATATACGTATATAACTTATTCTGGTATATACTAAAACATTTTCACAAAAACTGATTGATCTTAAAGTCGAAGGACAGTTACTTCCTATGCGATTATATGGCTTTTCGAGGATTACCTATCGATGCTGTGCCCTGCGTGGAACTATTAAATTTTGAATTTCAGCCGATAGTCAGCGGAGACATATGACACGGCAGGCGACCGACGAGTCTTACCTTTCCTATTCGACGTCTCTGAGAAAGTGGTTGCGGTCGTGCGCCAAGCATCGCTGGGAGCCGTTGGTGGAAGTACCTACGCTGGAGGATTTTAATGTGTATAAAAAAATGTTTTAGTTTTAATTTTGATACTCAATTTCATATTTGTATAATTCATTGCATTTTCCATCTTATATCGTGTCGCAGCTAAATTTCTATGAACCGTATACCTTTCTGCTGCTATGCTATGCGGCAGAAGTGTTAATTTACTGGTTTGTTCATAAAAAACTGGAAACTGTGCACATCAGACGGTTATCTATCACTCATTTCATCGTGAGCAGCGTTTTCGATTATCTCGGTTCAATTTGCTCACGTCAGTAATGCACACATCACACCATTTGCTATAGTATTCGAACGTAATACCTTGAAATCACTTTGTTTTGCCCAACTTCGTTATAACAAACTTTTGAACAGCACCGATGACACACTTTCATCGACCTTCCTAGAGATTAACTGATCCACTGATATCAACTTAACGTGAAATCCGCATCAGCATTTTTACACAACATCTATTAACTAGAATAGGATGCTTAAGATATATTATTTTTGTTTAAAACTGTATCAGATGTATTAAATCCTACACTTGTCATCAAGAAAATACACGGATAAGGAAGCAGTTCGTACAGCTGTTTTGAGTCGTTTTTATTAGGCCGGCATAATGTTTGCGCGCATCTTCCTGTCTGTACACAGATGACTTTATAAATGGCTTTTCGTTGTGTCACGTACGCCGTCGGTTTCGCGCCACCTCACCATTCAAATAAAGCGCGCTTTGTGGCGCCATCAAACGAGTGGTGCGCATGCGTCCGAGCAAGTCACCTTGGCGGTCGGCTATCGGCGCCCTTTCTCCCACAGTCGACTCACACCAGTCGGACACTGTGGTGTGGCGTATCCCTGAAGCGAACGTGAAGCAATAATTTAGTCGATCTCGAGCACTTCTCTAAGCATTACCTAGCTAACCAACAAGTTCTAGCCATGGCTAAGGTCGGCATCAACGGATTTGGCCGTATCGGACGTCTTGTCTTACGTGCCGCGCTCGATAAGGGTGTTGATGTTGTTGCCGTCAACGATCCCTTCATCGATGTCACCTACATGGTAAGTACTGAACGTTTTTTGAAGGAAAGCACTGATTACTGTCATTTTGTCATTGTGTGTCCAACAATAGTTCCCTCCATCGTATGCCTCGCGAATGGACCCACTAATCCCTACCAGTGGGCTACCTGGTAGTGGGTACTTTTCCTTAAAACTTCGAATGCATTCCCACCCTACAGCGCCGCTGGCGAAGAGATACGTAACAGCACGACGTATTCTTGGTCAGTTGAAGGCAATTGATATAAGGCATTATTCCGAAAAGCGTTGCGCGGATCAAACGCCACTGCCACTCGCCGTCATTAAGCTAGCGTTGTCCCTAACGCCTTGTTGGCCATAACTAAGCTGGTGCGATAACTGTAGGCGTTCGGTGCTGGAGGTTAAAGGGACTAGCGATGTAAGTCGTGTGGCGTCGAGTAATGCAGAGGCTGATAGCAACGATGGAACTGTTCACGTCGAGTAATCCATTTTTTCCAAATCAGGAGAGCGATTTAAGGGTTCTATTTAGTAGGCCGTATCTAAATAACATAGCTGTAGTTGCTCAGTGGAAGATTGCCAGTTGCATTTGTTCGGGGTCGACCTTGACGCGGCACCCACGAGCAGACTTAGGAGATTATGAAGAAGTCTGGGAGCTTCGTAACCGTATGTAGCATTGGTAACTGTTAACTGTCTGATCATACTCTATATGTGTAAACATATACATATAAATGGGCAATACATGTGGTAATAAGCTTTTGAGGGTAATACATGTGGTAATAAGCTTTTGAAAGTTTAAGACAGCTTTCGTTTTAGAAACATAGTTTGTCAGGTAAACACGAAGCATTTGGTTTTGCTTGGAATTGTATGGATTGATTTTTCACATCTTAAATAATTCAGTTTGCGTTATACATATGCAGTCAATGTTATTTTTCAAGGGATATTCTATTGGTGACAAAAATATATTACGAAACTAGAATCATCGACGTTTTCGATCGCGGAGTAACCGTCAAAATTCTTGATATTCGACACAACCTTGCTAGTTACCATTACTGGTCTAAACTAAATGATGTGAGACAGTTTAATAAGAAGCAGATTGCTTTTCTTTGGACAAGAGATAAATCTTAGTTCTTGGTTCACACAATTTTCCTTTTGATAATATCATAGAATTGAATACGACTCTACTTTACTATTAATGGATACCCACCACTCGTGGCGTAGATTTAATCCACGCTTTGCTGTATCTGGAGAGATCCCTCCAACAACGAGCGCAGTTTATCTCTACTCTGACAAACAAAGTGACGATGAATGAACGCTGACCAAGGTTTTCTCATCGGCTGCAGTATGTGCACTATGTTCTAGGCGATCTACAGCGACGATATGGCCGCAAATAACAAGAGATACAAAAAATTACTTTTGTAAAAATTGCCTCTATTTGCGTTTCTTCTGTGATCTCCACTACCCTACGGACTTTACAGTCATACGCAACTCTCGTTGGAAAACTAAAGCGTACTTATTCAATTTAGCTACCTTCTAGTCAAATAAAAAAAAACAATAGGTAAATATTTCTAGCGACAATGAGGAGGAGGTTTCTATTACAAAGTATAAAAATTTCCCAAAAATAACACCCAAGAAAGTGTTGTTACGGGGATGGAAGTTTTAACTTTCAATTAAATTTCTGTGACAGGTGTACATGTTCAAGTACGATTCGACTCACGGTCGTTTCAAGGGGACAGTTTCAGAAGAGGGTGGCATGCTTGTCGTCAACGGCAAAAAAATACAAGTCTTCCAGGAGTCTGATCCGGCGAGCATTCCATGGGCTAAGGCTGGCGCCGAATATGTGGTCGAATCAACTGGTGTGTTTACGTCACTGGAAAAAGCCGAAGCTCACCGCAAGGCCGGTGCCAAAAAGGTCATCATTTCAGCGCCATCACCCGATGCGCCAATGTTCGTTATGGGTGTCAACCACGAGAAGTATGATGTGTCAATGAACATCGTATCGAACGCTTCTTGTACCACTAATTGCCTTGCGCCTTTAGCTAAGGTTATTCATGATAACTTTACTATTCTAGAGGGTCTAATGACAACGGTACATGCAACAACGGCTACCCAGAAAACGGTCGATGGTCCTTCAAAGAAGGACTGGCGCGGAGGACGTGGTGCTGCCCAGAATATTATTCCTTCATCAACCGGGGCTGCCAAAGCTGTTGGGAAGGTTATCCCTGAACTCAATGGCAAACTCACCGGTTAGTAGCGACTTAAAATTTAATTAAACGATTTTCAAATTTAAATTGGTCGTTTCAAGGGTAATCCCCAAATTAAAAGTATGTGACGTATTATTCTTATTATTGGCTTTATGTTACGTACACTTATAAAGTGCATAAACGAAAATTCGACATAACTAAGAAGTATAACTGCGCCATGTACCTATTTGCAAATACCCGTCTACAAGGAGGCTGGCATATTGCAGTTAGCTTTGGTGTCAACTTCAGACTGTCGCATTGAAGATCTTTTTAACTAGTGCAAATTCACCAAGGACATATTGGCAATAATGTGGAACACTCTTGTAAATGTATCTAGTCTCGTAAACTTGAGTGTATGAAATGATTTTAATTTCAAAGTACGAAGGGTAAATGACAACCCGCACGGTATGATTATTTACGTTTTATGCACGGTATCATGATTACAGGTATGGCCTTCCGTGTACCCACTCCCGACGTGTCGGTCGTAGATTTGACAGTAAGGCTTGGCAAAGATGCCTCGTACGATGACATCAAGGCCGCGATTAAGGCTGCAGCCAATTCCGATCAGTGGAAGGGTGTTTTGGCTTATACCGAGGATGAGGTTGTCTCTACCGACTTCGTAGGTGATACGCACTCATCTATTTTCGATGCTAAGGCTGGCATCTCATTGTCGCCGAATTTCGTCAAACTCGTCGCATGGTACGACAACGAATACGGATACAGTAACCGTGTTATCGACCTCATCAAGTACATGAAGACAAAGGATGCTTAAGCTACTTGCGTTAAGCTTTTCGTCGGCAACCTGGCCACTGTGGACGTCGACGAAATGAATGGGTTTTAATGGTGAAGGCTTTCGAGTTCATCCACTCGGTGCCCATTTGTCGAAACCTAGTGCCAGTGTGGCATGATCGAAGATGAAGGGACGATGTAGAAGGTTGTAGGTGATGTAAAAGGTTGTAGGTGATATGTTAGATGTAACAGAGTTGAACACATTGCAATAACAACGATTATGATAATAAGGAACGGGCATCACGGGTTAATTTATCTATGCGTTGTAGAAATCAGCAAGATGTCTCTTGTCTTCAGCACATGTATGTGTGAAAAGAATAATATATGTTGCATGGATGAACTATTCTGTAAAATCTTCGGTATGTTACCTACAACCTTTTACACCGCCTCGTCGTCGTCTCTCTCAATATATCGCAATAGAACATTATATACGAATAAGGACAACAGCAACAACCATAGTAATATTGATTACATCAATACATGTAGGACAGCGATAAGTAATTCACACCAGCAACCCTCTTTCTCTCTATTTTCCTTTTCTGTCGTTTCTCTGTTGACAAAGACGTAAATAAATTACATCATTATTTCTCTAGCTTCGGCTAGTAAAAGAATTTGTCTTTTCATTCATGAGAATCATTCAACACTATAATGTTCAATGATAAGGGTAAGTATCTACTAAGTAAACAAACCCATAAGTTTGAATGCTGGCTTTCTCAATGTGTGTTTTTTCAAACTTTAGAGTTCTTCTTCTTTAGAAAAGATTTCTTAACTGTATATTCATATGTTTCTCGTAAGGATCCGTAAATGAAATTACCTTCTCACGCAGTTAGCCGGAGGATCGTTGCTATCGATGCAAACATGTCAATGCAAAAACTTTTTCTCTAACACTATTGCTATGGAACACGAATTTAGATCGACGCTTGGTAGTTAAGCAGTGAGCGCTTTACATAGGCCGGGCCATTTGTTCTGTCCAAAATTCTGGGAGTTGTCGTAGTTGTCATCGACATAAGGTTAGCAACGCATCCAGATAAGCATCATATGCAACTATCACGTTATCTAATAGAAATCGAGAAATTAGCTGCTCAACGCTAATAGACCAGAAAGTAACAAACAATAGACGCAGTTAATGAGACAACCTAAATTGGCAAGCATCTCTGTTTTTCTATGTACGAAGACCATTGAGAAGCTTGCTAATAATAATGTAGTATAAAAGCAGCATCAAGCAACACTATAGAATTGCCAGTACATAAACGGAGGTTCGAAAAACCACTATAAGTTACGACTACAAATAAGCAGTTACAGGCCTAAGACAACTGAAAGGACTCTAATGAATAAATCAATATGTATGCCAATTAAATCCACCTTAGTAAAACGTCCATCTTCGTGTAAATAACTGCATGCGTGAATAAGACAACTTGTGCGTTACTTGAATTAAAGCGGTACATAATAGAACTATTGTATGGTATAAATGGTATAAATTAGTCAAGGCAAAACTCGTAATGCATTACCCTGTCCCACAGGCAATGAAGTATATTTTAAAAATAGCCTAAACGCCTACTCTTAAACACTCTCGTAATAGTAAAGTATGTAAAAACTTAGTTGACTTGCTTTGTAAAACCGTAAACTCTCGTATTGTGGCCTAATAATGAACATGTACCACACTTAATACAGACTTGATTATTTGACCTAATACCACTATCTTTGAACCTATATTAGTTTTTATCAGAAATCTTGTGGCACAATCGTAATGGTCAGTTCAATTAATTCAGCGGCAGGCCTGAATTTCAATTTTTCTTGGAAGGAATCAAGCATTTACCATTGTATAGCTAAGGTAGTCACTTCAGTGAATCTAGTGAAGATGAACATTTTAGAGAACGCGATCGCTTGAGCAGGTTTTTGTTAATCGTTATGTAACAATAGGAGTAGAATCTCATGCACTAGGCCGTCTGATGGAATTACCGGATGCCGGACGTAAAGGTTGAAACATAAAGGCGAGTTTTTTATTACAGGTATTACATTTGAAATAAGAAGCTGGACTTAACAAATATCCTAAGTATATTCCTCAGTCATTCGCCACATCTATCGAATGATATATATGCGGGTACACAGTCCAGTATGTTCTTCGATTACACAACTGCCGTGTAATCCACTTTTTTTTAGTAGTACTGTTTTCGAATGGCAGGTGCCTCGGTCGCGGTCGGTTTCTATGGTAAAGTAGAGCCATGTTGACTGCAGCTAACAACGCCCGCCAGGCTAAGTGAAAAGGGGGAAAGGCCACTCTTAGTGAGCGGTTACACACATTTAATATGTCTTAACGTTATTAGATCGCATTTTGGGCCATTTGCGCGTTATAAAATTAATTCTTATCCACGAAACCCGAGTATAAAGGAAACATGCTAAATAAAGTGCTGTCAGATAGGACCTAATTCGATCCTTCTAAGCTCTCTACACTAACAGCTTGGAAAAGCCGCCTGACATTAGGTAATGGAGCGTTCGACAACTAAAACAAGATCGTACTTCACAGGATCATTTCTGTAGTACATCTAACGTATCCACTTGCCGGATTCGTACATCTTGAAACCCCGATGATGCGTTGAGGGTGTGGGTCTGAGCGTGAATCTGCTGTAGGATTTGCTTTTCGGAGGAAAATCTACTGCTTGATGATCGTTCTGTCCCGGCAACGGGAAAATGGCGCATACTCAGTCTGAGTGGTTTCATCAAATCAAAGCATAATTACTACGTATCTGGGAGTACAAAGGTCTCGAGGGGATAAAACGTGGGATTAATTCATGCTTAATTAATGGGCATGAGATATTATTATGAGTTACTATATTCTACATTTCCCCGGAGAGTTGCACCGAAAAAAAAAAGAAAACTGGTATTCTCGCTCAGCAACAGCATCTCCAAAGCGTGTTCGCTAACGAGGTACGAATCGAAATCGTGGGAGAGATTGTTCTGTGCGAGTGCGGGAGTTATATGAGGACAACGTAGCTAGCATCGGAAGTCTGAATGTTTCGAGTTTTACGCCCGGTATCACCGTTAGGCGTTCCATCAGACGTGAGCTTCCAGCACGAAACGAAATGTGTCCGTGTGCGTGAGCTCGAGCTTAGACCACAACGTGTTAGTCTTAGGGAAGAATAACAGGCAAATATGTTTTGCATTAAGGTATCACGGGGTTGGAAGTCTGGGTATGCCAATATGCTAATGGCGTGTTTTTAATTTACCGTGAAGCAACTTAGGAAAGCCTTACCTTACGTATGGAGAAAGACCACGTCACTGTGCTGTATGACCGAAGAATACGGCCTGTGTTAAGCTCTATCTATGGTCAAATGACGAGGAGTGCACATTGACCCTCTTGTAAAGCTGTCAGAGGCCCGTGGATCACGAAGTTGAGTTTCTTATGGTAGGATGGAAATGACCGAGTCAATGAATGCAGCAGCATGTCTGAACTTTATTTTTTCGTGAAAGAAATCGGAACTTCTTGACGTTCACCATTGTATGGCTAAGATAGTCACTTCAATGAATCTAGCGGGAATGGAAATTTTAGGGAACGGGATTGCTTTACCAGGTTTTTGTTAATTGTTTTATAGCAATAAGGGTAGAATGTCGTACACTAGACGAGTCCTTATTACAGCTCTTACATTCGAGATAAAATACTGGATTTGACAAACATAAGTGTATTCTTCAGTCATCTGCTGTATGTATTGAATAGTATATATACGGGTACACAGTCCAATATTTTCTGCGATTACACAGGTGCCGTGTGATCAATTTTTTTTTGGCAGAAATGTAACTTTCAGATGTCTTGGTCGCGGTCGGTTTCTAAGGCGAAGTAAACAAGAGCGATGCTGACTGCAGCTAACAACGCCCGCCAGGCTAAGTGAAAAGGGGGAGAGGCCACTCTTAGTGAGCGGTTACACACATTTAATATGTGTTAACGTTGTTAGATCGCATTTTGGGCCATTTGCGCGTTATAAAATCGATGTTTATCCACGAAACACGAGTACAAAGGAATTATGCTAAATAAAGTGCTGTCAGATAGAACCTAATTCGATCCTTCTAAGCTCTGTATACTAACAGCTTGAAAAAGCCGCCTGACATTAGGTGATGCAGCGTTCGACAGCAAAACTAAGATCGTACTTCACAGGATCATTTCTGTAGTACATCTAACGTATCCGCTTGCCGGATTCGTACATCCTGAAACCCCGATGATGCGTTGAGGGTGTGGGTCTGAGCGTGAATCCGCTGTGGGATTTTCTTTCCTGAGAAACACCCACTGCTTGATGATCGTTCTTTTCCGGCAACGGGAAGATTGCCCATACTCAGTCTGAGTGGTTTCATCAAAAAAAAAAAAAACAACAATCAAAGCGTAATTAGTGCGTGTGTGGGGGTACAAAAATTAGGATTATTTATTTATAAATTGACGTATATTGGCGTAGTTGTTGTGAATGAGGCTGTATATAGCGTTTACCCGCAGACTAATTGTAAGGTTGCACGCTAAAAAGGAAAGCGTACCCGCTCAGCAACAGTATCTAAAAGCACGCAGCATATCTCGAGCGTGTTCCGTAACGAGGTACGTATCGAAATCGTGGGAGAGGTTGTTCTGTGCGAGTGCAGGAGCTCCATGATAATGGCGTAGCTAGCACCAGAAGCCTGCATGTTTCGAGTTTTCTATCCGGTATCGCCGGAACGGCTAGCTTCCACCACGAAACGAAAAAAAAAAGATCGAGTTCGAACTTAGACTTAGGGAAGAATAACAGGCACATATGTTATGCACTAAGATACAACGGGGTTGAAAGTCTGGGTAGCCAATATGCTAATGACTTGTTTCTTAAGTTACCGTGAGGTAACTTAGGAAAGCCTTACATTGCGTATGGCGAAACACCACGTCATTGTCGTGTATATGACCCAAGGACATGGCTTGTGTTAAGCTGTATCTGTGGTGAAATGACAAAGATTGCACACTGACCCTCTTGTAAGGCTGTCAGTGTCCCGCGGGCCATTAAGTTTCTTATAGCAGGATGGAAATGACCAGGTCAATGAATGCAGCAGCACGTCTGAACTTTATCTTTTCGTGAAAGAAATCGGAATTTCTTGACGTTCACCATTGTATGGCTAAGATAGTCACTTCAATGAATCTAGCGGGAATGGAAATTTTAGGGAACGGGATTGCTTTACCAGGTTTTTGTTAATTGTTTTATAGCAATAAGGGTAGAATATCGTACACTAGACGACTGCTTATTACAGCTCTTACATTTGAGATAAGATACCGGTTTTGGCAAACATAAGTGTATTCTTCAGTCATCTGCTATATGTATTGAATAGTATATATGCGGGTACACAGTACAATATTCTCTGTGATTATACAGTTGCCGTGTAATCCACTTTTTTTTTAGCAGAAATGCTACTTTCAGGTGGCAGATGCCTCGGTCGCGGTCGGTTTCTAAGGAAAAGTAAACAAAAGCGTTGCTAACTGCAGCTAACAACGCCCGCTAGGCTAAGTGAAAAGGGGGAAAGGAGTCTCTTAGTGAGCGGTTACGCACATTTATTACGTCTTAGCGTTGTTAGATCGTATTTTGGGCCACTTGCGCATTATAAAGTTAATGTT